TCAATGGCTGCTTTGGTTGATTTTTTCATCAAGAATGCACTTTCTTATGCAACTAACCCCTGATGTTAATCTTTGATTACATATCCTAAATTAATTCGCTATGTCGTTAATTATCTTCATGCACCTCCGTTTCTATTCATACAGATTATAATGGTCAGCGAAAGTTGGAGTCCCCATTTCCTGCAGGCCGTCCCCCTCATGGCATCTGTAGCACGTAGCAGGCTATTCCTGGTTGCTCCTTTCCTAATCCTCCTACTTAGCGTGATATAATCCAACAACATGATTTTCTTATTATTTTTTGCCATGCCTTCTGTAGTTTTGTTCATAGGACGGCAGATCGTATTATTTGTAACCCCCAAGGATGCATGTTTATTGGTTTGTTTTCTGGACTGTGGGTAAATTTTGCAAAATGGTATCTGAAGCATAGATGATTAAGTAACTTGGAGGGCTGAAGTCCCACAATTTTTTTTGACTTGAAATAGTACGATATCTTATACAAACAAATTAATCGTTACCAAGGTTTAATTCATGTTTAAAAGTTTTGTTCAAATTGTTCGAGCCCATGCCACCTCACCATCATGACTTCGTTTGATCTTATGAAAAATATGAAGAGTCCGTTCGGATTTCAATATATTTTTTTACCAAAGTGTCTTCTTTATTTCAGTATTGTTCAAGACAGCCAAAGGCAATAATTAAACCTGAAGTGCTAACGACATGTTCCCATAAAAATCATAGATTAACTTGCTGAATGGATAATATAATTTCCTCATCATTCTTGACAATTCTAAAGCATATGTAGCATGCATGAAAAAATGCTACTATTCTTAAATATAAACAGCAATTATATAATAAATCATTTGTATATTTGATTTTAGTTTTCGTATAAAATTCCAAAAATCATGTTTCATACTATCAAATCATTTTAGTATATATTACAATCTATTCCGCAGCAACGCGCGGGGCATTATCTAGTATATCGAATTGCTCCGGCCTAATCTATACCTACTAATAAAAGAAATAGGTATTCTTGGTGCGTCATGCTATTTTGCAGGAAACGCCATCAAGTTTTTGGTAATAAATCTGTAGTACATATTATTGATTTTTAAAATGTTCATAGCTTTTTAATCCTAACTCCAAATTTAACATGTTATATATGAAATTTGATTACAAAAATATGTAGAATCTGAATACGATATTATATTTAACTGTTATCATCCTATGCCGAAAAGGAGACGTCTTAAGATTGACAACATTCATACGTGTTGTGATGGTATGAACACAAATGGGATGCCATGTGTTGAAATAAAGGATATGGACCTACGAATTCATGGTTATTAGATTAGTGAGTGTTTTTTCATCCATTGCAACGCACGAGCTCATTTGCATTGTATGCCAAGGGGGAGACGTCTTAAGATTGACAACATTCAAACATGTTGTATTGATGTCAACATTGAGGCCAGCATCGACGAGAGTGAGAAGAAAGATAAATAGAAATACAGATGGAATGCTATGTGTTGACATAAAGGATATGGACCTACTAAAGTTTGGACTCATGGTTATTAGATTGGGAAGTGTTTTTTTTTCACCCGTTGCAACGCACGGGCTCATTTGCTAGTTAACACTGAAACCCAAAGCCTAGAGATTTTTTTTTTGCTAGATCAAACTAGAGTTTTGGAATTGACCTATCTAATTTTTTGATATTTTTCAAAGAGAGTGTTTAATTTTCAACAGTTTGCACGAAAGCTATTGAGTTTATATAACAATCAGAAAAAAGAAAAAATGCATCATTTTTTTATAATAGAAATAAAGGTTTTTCAGTGCCCACAAAAAAGTTTTTTTTAGGGATAAAGCTTTTTCCTTTTTCTTTGGAAACGAGAATATACAGTCCGTAGTAGTGGCGACCGAATCGAATCGACGGAGGGCATCCTCACGCGAAACCATCCTCTGATTCCCCCTCCCCTCGTCCCATCCAGATCTTTCTGTCATCGTTTCTCCCCCCACTCCGAATCCCTCCCTCCTCTCTCTGTGAAGGTACGTGCCGCACGCCCGCATCCATCTTCCTCCTCTCCGCACACCCCTTCTAATCCCAACACCACACCCATCCGCTCAGCAGGTCCTCACCGACGTGCCCGCCGCCACGGCCCTCCCTCCAAATCGTCGCCGACACGAGGTAAATTCTACCTCCTTTGCCTGATTTTGTCATGGACCTGTAGTAGATTTTGTTGCCGTGGAGGCCTTTAGGTCTCGAATAGTTGAACACAGTCTCAGTTCAGGTTGTGCCATGCGGTAGTGCTTGAGGAAGATTGCAGTTGCCTCTAGGTTCGGCTTTAAGCCTGTAGGCTGTTGATCTGGGAGGGGGGCAACACAAAAACTTTTAGGTTACATAAATGCGTGCTGGGAGAAGATCTCTTAAGGACATGCTAAGTAGGGCCGCGCTACTACTTGTTGGAATTGTTTTGTGTAACTCAGTTGTTTTTTTTTTTTTTGCAACATTGTAACTCAGTTGTTGGAATTGGGTTATTTGTGAGACTGGCACTGTATTTTACATTTTTGTTTTGATGAGGAAAAACGGTTATAGAGTCTACTTGAGTGTTGTTCGGTACACCTTCAATTCACTGACGATTGTCTCTTGGGTCTTTTGTCGCGCTGCCAACCCTATGTCTGAAACCTTGATTTTAAAACTAGCTTCAAATTTAATTGAAAGAATTTAGACAAGTGAAGGGGCTGACTATGTTATGCATTTTCAAGTGCTTGTGCCCATTAGTTTGACCAAATTTGGTTTTGCTAGAGCACTCTAATAATGCCCTGTTCTTTCTTGCTTTCAGAATCTCCGTTCAACAGCAAGGTCATGGCAGAAACCATAGATCTAACAGGGGATGGAGGCGTTCTTAAGACGGTGGTCAGAAAAGCAAAGGATGATGCTATAAGCCCATCTGATAGCCTTCCATTGGTTGATGGTACTGCAGTCAATCCATAGCCCTCTGAGTAAAACATAGCCTCAATAATTTATTTTCTATTTGGCTGGGCGGTTGCTCAGGGTTTAAGTTATGGTACAAGTTTTTTACCTCAAGTGCTTCCAATGTTTTTCCATTCAGCTACTTTGCCCCCGAATCTTACGGCAATGCACTTTTCTATGCAATACAGTAAACGTTTCACTGCTTAATCTGCCATGTTGGGTTAAACATTTGCCTTTATACCTATCTGCAGTTCATTATGAAGGGACACTTGCTGAAAATGGCGAAGTTTTTGACACCACACATGAAGACAATTCTATTTTTTCATTTGAAGTTGGCCAGGGAGCTGTCATTAAAGCATGGGATATAGCCTTAAGAACTATGAAAGTATGTGAACGTTTATAATTGCTTGCTCACTTCGATAGCCTCGAAAGTTTCTTTCTAATATGGCATGGTGTATCACGCATGTTGAAGGTTGGCGAGATTGCAAAAATAACATGCAGGCCGGAATATGCGTATGGAAGTCCAGGCTCGCCGCCAGAGATACCAGCGAAGTTTGTTTGCCATTTCACCTCTTGATTGACTGAAGTTGTAAGCATCCCCAGGCAGAAGTTTCTGTAACAACGTTTGCTTTGTTTCTGCAGTGCAACACTCATTTTTGAGGTGGAATTACTGGCTTGCAAGCCAAGGAAAGGTTCAAGTCTGGGCAGTGTATCTGATGAGAAAGCCAGGCTAGAGTAAGACATCTCCAAGTGTTTCCTCTTTTATATTTAACGCATCAAGTACCCAATAATCAGACGATGGTCGACAAAATCCTCACTGAAGCTGATCTGTGGAGGTTGGCACTTGGCAGGGAGCTAAGGAGTTGAGAACTCTGCCTCTGAATGCTCGTCCACCCCATAACATCTCTAGACAACCATAGCTTTGTTTAATCCTCCATTTTTAAGAGTTTTGTCCTTTTTTTCTGTTTCTATGGGGTAGTGGAGCTTTTGCTGTGTTTTTGGTCAGTAGTACAGTTAAGCCAGTTTTGGCATTTTTTTCTAATACAGAAGTTAGTACCCAATAATCATGTTAAACAGCATGGGACATCATATTGGAATTACATAATATAGCATATAGCCTAGCTAATATTCTTGTTTACGCGATTTCTTGAGAACACTCGAGAGTTACGTGTCATGTCTATTATCCATTTTGTAATACCCTTGTGATTGTTAGAAAGTACATGATTTTTGATACATAAATTTCGATAGGGAGCTTAAGAAACAGCGGGAGCTGTCTGCCGCCACCAAAGAGGAAGAGAAGAAGAAGAGGGAGGAGGCAAAGGCCGCGGCAGCGGCTCGTGTGCAAGCCAAACTTGACGCCAAGAAGGGCAAGGGAAAAGGAAAGGGCAAATAGATTACTCCCAACTGATGTATTAGTCGTTGCATTTGCTGCTGAGTGCTGACTGTTGTAACCTACTCCCTCCGTCTCATCAAAAAACATTTTACATTATGGGATGTAGTAGTAGAAAATAATCTGCACAAAGCATAGATTGCCTGTTGCCTTGTTGGCTACTGTGCTTCGGGGGAGATGGCGTATGTTGCCCAGCACCAGCCTTACTGAAAACATTAAATAATCACAGCAATCTTCTCTTGGTTTTAACTGCGCAGCAATGACATTTCCATGTCTGATAATGTAATTGCAGATGTATACAGCACATGTGACATTTACTTCTGAACAGATGTGCATCTCAGCAAAATTTGCTTTGATGTGCTTTCGCTTCCGAACACAGCATGTACATTTACTTTACAACATAAGGGTTAGACTTTTTGTGTACAAACACAGCCGATTATGAGCTGAGGCAGCAGTCATCTTCCTCACCAGAAATACGACCATCTCAAAACAAAACCCTGGAGAGGAAGAAATACTTCTGGATCCGCAGGTATCCTTTCTCATATCTTAAATTTGAGGGTTTTAAGAAGTATCCAGAATGGCTCAGAAATGGTACACTTTGGGCACTTGAATAGGAATATCAATCCCCTTTCTCATATTAGCAACCTATGTACCTCAATGTGAATGTAATGCTATCTTTTGTAAATCACATGGTGGTGTAGATGGTAAAATATCATACGATGCACGGAACCGTAGGCCATTGCCTGTATTGACTGATACTGGGCAGAGCCAGCAGAATATGCTACGCCCAAGCACCTGTGGATAAACAATCGGAAACATCAGAACATATAACACACGATGCTTTCCAGGGTTAAGAAAGCAAGCAAGCAAACATGATTATAGTTCGGGAAGCGGCACCACGCAAGCCCGCATCATGTGTTAAACTGGCGCCACACAGGCCTGACAGCAGACCGCCTACATCTGCTTAACTATGAATACATGCAGCAGGGCCATTGTTCAATTTAATGAACTAACTTCACCAGTCTGGTTGAAAGCAATGAAGGGAGGTGAACTACTACACTGGTTACCTGTTTCCACAGTTTGAGTTAAAACTTTTATATAACACCCTAATGTGCAAAAAGGGCAGCCCGGTGCACGTAGCTCCCTCTTGCGTAGGGTCCGGAGAAGGGTCCGACCACTTTGGGTTTTCTGTATGCAGTATTTCCCTATATTTCCGCAAAAGGCTGTTTCCAGGACTAAAACCTGTGACCTCATGGTCACAAGGCAACACCCTAACGTGCAAGACCAAAATAAAGATACATGTGAAACGCACATGCCAACAGCATGGCATAACTACATGTGACAATTTAGCAAACATTAATAAGACTAGGAAGGAATTTTTTGAAATTTGTTTGAAATATACAAATGTGCAAACTTGTGGAGGGGTGTATATGGCAAAATCTGCTTTGGAGTCAGTATCAAAATTGTGGATATCTTTAAATGGACAATAAAGCTGTTGCCATTAACACTGTCTCTGAAAATCAACTACTCCCATTCCGCATTCATATCTTAATATGTGAAACATTTAAACAGCTCAGAAAATTGTTAGTCTTTTTCGCTGCGAATAGAAAATAGTTCATCTTCTTACCGAAATAAGATTCTCATAGACACCAAGGTCATATGGATGATGATAAAGGTCTCCACCCTTTTCTGCCAACCACATTGCTCTAACTCCTTCATGGTACTGCAACCATCAATAACAAGTGTTTTTAATATTTTCTATAAACATGAATGCTGCCCAACATCAAAAGAGAAATTTGTTGTCACAAACCTCAATTGTAGTTTTATTCTGTAATATGAGGTGGATATGCCAGCCCAGGAGCACTGACAGCGCCAGAGTTAATGGACAAAGAATGATCCCACAAATAATCTGTCCATTTGGCAAGTTTAAAATTTTTGTGAGTAGTTCAGATGAACATGCAACATGCTAGGTAACTAAAAAACAACGCAAGAGTACTTACAATCAATGTTCTAGAAGAATCACTGCTTAACTGTTCATCTTTCGGAGCACTGTAAATGACGCTCCCTACAATTAGAATCTGAGATGGGAAAAATATACTTTTCAATGCTATACCACCCCAAGAAATCATATTTGCCAAAGTAATCGAAGAAACTGAACTACCATTGAATAGAAGCTTGCAATTACAGCATACAATACAAAGACCAAGAATATCTTGTAGTTCTCGTGCCCAACACAGTTATTAATCCAAATACAGTGATGGTCCTGCACATAAAAAGTTAGTGAAAACGTGGAAGGGGAGATAAAATAGAAGGATCATCATAGAATTAGTACTAGCCAGCACCATTTTCAGAACACATCTCTTGCACACACGGCAATGGTGTGCGCGTGGGGGCTTATAGTGGCTACATTTCTGGCAATATCTCAAATCACCACCCTGCAAAAGCAGTACAGATTGAGTATTTTGAGGCAACAAACTAATAAGAAGTTAATTTTTGTCAGCTATCGTCATGGAATTGTACTCCAGAGTAAATCAGACGATGGGATTTCCCCGCTTATTTACTCCCACCTCAACCTTACTCCCATACTAAGCTAATCTCCCTTTCATTTTCCCCATTTTTGGTACAAGGCAAAATCACTTTGTACTGCCAATTCGGTAGGCTACTTGCCAACAGGGAACTCTTCGTTTAACACCACAAAGCAATTTGCTTAAGTCACCTTAGAGCTCAATTTCTTCAAAAGCAGCGGTCCAAAAATCTTGTGTTGACTACCTCAATATTCTTCTTTTGTTATGCGTAATGTTTGCAGGCCCAGCAACAGAACATGCTACTTACACCTGATGTCTACCGTTATAACACACCCATGGGCACAAAACAAACTAATAAAGGGAAAACGGAAACTTGGGTATACCATTGGAAGAGGCCAAATAGCCATATTCATGCAGAGTGCTATTTATTTATCTGCATTCAAGTATTCAACTGTCGCATTCACTTTGGAAAATGCAAGATAACAAGGCATAAAATCGGAAGCTTTGCATGGTATCTAACCGCAATACCCACCAGGGCCACCATTAATAAAAAAATTAGCAAGGCCGGCCGCTCAATTTAGAGTCACTTTACTTTGCGAATAGCTTGTGCTTGTTTTGTTTAATGGCCATGGATAACACTTTGAAACTTGCTACAATTTTTTTGCTCATGATTCCAAACCCGGTGGAAATTTAAAATATTGTCTAGACAGACCTTCAAACTTAGACTGGATCCACACACACGGTGGAAGGTTCCAGGCACCAACACTCAGATTCGGATCTAAATTATCTATCTGTTATCTATCTATCAAGTCCCTCCTTTAACAGTCGCAACTTTGAGCTGAAATCGGCAGAATGGAACAGTTACACGCATAGATGGTCGTAAATGATCCAATCCCAGGAGGCAAATTGGCATTAAACCGCATTTGCCTAACTGGGAGGCGCGGCAATTGAAGCAAACTTGCCCAATTTCATGAGAAGGGGGGAAATTCTGCAAGAACCAAGCACCATTCCGCTCCACAGATCCAAAACTCCCCGACAGGCAGCCGAGGGCACGCACCTTGCGCTTGACCTCGTGGACGGGGGTGTCGGCGCCCTCGACGTCGGGCAGGAAGGCGGGCGGCACCCGGCCGGGGTCCCGGGAGACGGCGGCGGCGTAGGTGGCGAGGCAGGCGGCGGCGAGGGCCGTGAAGGCGGCGGCGTTGGCGACCCCGGCGGCCGTGGCGAGGCCGAGCCAGCCGGCGACGGCGACGAAGACCGTGGTGTAGTAGACGTAGCCGATCGCGGCGAGCACCGCGAAGATGGGCAGCGTCAGGTACCCCGGCCTCCCCATCGGCGCGGCGCGGGGGCCCCGCCTGCTGCGCGCCTGCACGCCTGGCTAGGGTTCCGGCCGGAGGAGGCGGGGGGAGGCGCGCATCCTAGGGAGGAAGATGGGAGGGAGGGGGAGGAAGAGGGTGGGTGGGTGAGTCCCGCGTGGCGTGCGGGTCGGGGCCGAGGGAGGCGGCCGGCCCGTTTTATCGGGGGCTACTTTTATTATGGATTATTCGGCGGGAAGCAGCGGCGGCGGTACCGGCTGGGCGGGGAGGAGGAGGAGAGGTCGGAGGCGCAGCGGCGGGCGAAGCATGGAGGATCTGCCGGCTCGCTGCCCAGCGCGTGAAGAACGTGGCGCAGACAGAAAGTGGCGGATTATTGATTGTGTTTGTGTGCACTGCAGAATTTGAGTGCCAGCTTTGGTTTTCGGTGCTGTTCCTTTCTGTGGGATTAGGCCGGTCAGGATAGCCATAGTGGGGTAATTTAGGTAGTAACTTAACACATCTCAATACAATTTTACTTATGTGGCAAGTATTTAATGAGGAGAGAGATGTTTGAAGTAACATAATATGTTACTGTAGCATAGTGCTTCCCGAGGTAAAATGAGTCTTAAATGAAACAAACTATGACACTACTACTAAGATACTTTGCACTATGGAGATAGTAACTTAGACTGGTGTCATGCATATGACACTAGTCTAAGTTACTCCCCACTATGACCAGCCTCATAGTGGGGAGTAAGTTAGACTAGTGTCATGCATATGACACTAGCCTAAGTTACTACCTTCATAATGCAAAGTAACATAATAGTAGTATCTTAGATGACTTCATTTATTATCTTGTAGACTCATCTTGTCTTGGAAACGCTATGTTATAGTAACATATTATGTTACCACCTCTCATTAATTACTTGCCACATAAGTAAAAAATTCTTGAAATGCGCTATGTTACTAGCTAAGTTACTCCCACTATGACTAGCCTTATCCGTTAGTGTGCGTAGTGATTGGATGACGAAGCACGTATACGTAGCAAATGTTTGGAACTTTGCGTGAAGGCAAAGCTAGCTGAATATGGCTCTGTTTATTTCAGCTTTTATCGACAGATTCCGCTACCGCGTAGCAGAATCTGAACTAAAGGATGAACCCATCAGAATTCGATTTCAGAAATCCGTTGCCGAAATCTGAACCAAAAGCGGAAGCAGCTCAGGACGTGCTTTCCAAACTCTGATTCCGTTGCGGGTCAAAATCTGAAAAAGTTGTATCAGCTGGTTTGTCAAATGACCTACATCTTTTTCACATCAGATTTTTCATAGTTGTTTTTCCACAACAAATTTTTCACAACTGCTTTTAAGAATCCACAGCCGAACCAAACAGGGCCATATCGTTGACCATTTGTGCGCCGGACTGAAAATATGGTGAAAGTGTGCATTTTAGATGTTGATGTTTTTCCTTTATAAATTTGGTCAAACTTTACAAGATTTAACTTTGAAAAGAAATCTAATACACATTATATTTTTGAGAGGGACAGTATTAACCAAGCCACAATACAGATCTATCAACCAAACCACAACACAAATGCACTCAAATCTAATAACCAAAAGACAAAGCAAACATTCAATAGCAGCAGCAGCAACAATAACAACAACAATGACAAAGCTTTTTAGTCTCAAACAAGTAGGACAAAAATTTGGAGGGGCACACGCCTGCGCACAGTGGCGGAGCTGCGGAAGAAATCCTGGGCGGACGAAACTAAAAGAAAACACAAAATATTCAAAAATGATAGACTTACAGACGAGGCTTACGGAAACAATCTTACAAACAGGCGTGGCAACTCCTAATTCACCCCCCCCCCCCGAAATCTAGGGGTGGGGCCCCTCTCCACCGAACCAGATGACAATAATTCCGTCCGTAGCCTTGAATCCGTGAAAAACTATCTGTAGTTATAGCATCGCTGCAAAATATTTCAACTCAACCAATGGTCGAAGAGCTGCTGCTAAAAAATCTCTCTGAACTTCATCTGTAATTGTATCATCTCTCTTTTTCTCTTGAAAACCAAATTGATTATGAATTGATTAGCCTGCCCATCACAATTATCTAGTACAAAATTAAGATGTGTATTATCAATTGATTGAATTTCAGAGTGCTACGACCTATATTTTATAGGAAATAAGTCTTTTTAGATATTTCAGTAAGGACTACATATGAATGTATATAGACATATTTTAGTATGTAGATTCACTTATTTTGCTTTGTATGTAGTCTGTATTAAAATCTCTAAAAAGACTACTTATATCTAGGAATGGAGGGAGTACTAACCAATGACTATGAGATGAGAGTTTGGAGGGTACTCATGTGCCTGTGCAGCAACGCTCATCGTCTAGGTTGCTACTCGCCCGGCTATCCTCCTTCTTAGGCATGGTCGAGCCAGCGCTGCATGGGTCGCCCTCAGGTAAACCCGGGCATGGACAACCCGGCCCAAGCCCGGCCCGAATGTCAAGCCTGAAGCCTCGTTTGCAGCCCAAAGGTACTACGGGCTAGGCTCGAGCTTCTCTTTTCCAGAATTTCGGGCTGGGCTTTTGGGCTTCGGGCCGGGCTTACATGTGCGAACACTAGAAAACAAACATTCAGGCCGGGCTTCCGGGGTTTCAGGCTTGATTTCGGGCCAGGCTCGGGCTTGAGAAAAGAGTGCATTTCAGGCTTCGGGTCGTGCTCGGGCTTGAGAAAAGAAGGTCGGGCTTTTACAAGCCTGGCCTGAAACCCGGCCTCCGCACCACTCGGCGCTGCTACTGTTTGTTGCGACGGTGCGACCGGTAGCTCAACCTCCGCGGCTCCACACCACCTCTCTCCTGCCCTCCCTGCGGCTGTATGCGTGGCTCATGCCCTAGCGCCGGTTTTCTACTCTGCTGGATATGAAGAGCAATCAAGGGAGGCATCGGCAACAGAGGTTGGTGCCAAGAAGAGAATAGTGACGAGGTGAGGCTACATGCATAAGGCAGTTGCATATATGTATCAGTATATGCACTTTTACCCCATGGGTTGGGCGGGCCATGGCACACTTTTGCCCTCACAAAGCTCCGACGGTACCTACGTTGTCGTGCTCGGCCACACAATTGCTTTGAGATTCACCAAGTCGTTGGATTCCGCATGACGGCACACCAAGTTTTAAGTTGTACTTTCTGAAACTTGGGGATTTTGTCGTTCGGTCGTATCAAGTTTCAACAGATGGAACTTTGTGAGGTTTTAAAAACTCGTCAAAATGTATACAAACGTGATCTTATTTCAAAGCCCTCGTCACAACGAACATGAATATGCAAACAAAATTTAATTTGGAATGGTTCAAAAGATTCAAAATCGAAAGCCAAAAGAAAAATAGAGTCGATGCCTCCGCACCTACGTGCCACAAATCGTCTTCCATAAGTTGGGGCAGGTCATAGTTGAAACTCATAACATTTTGATACTGATGTCTACTACTCAACCTTCTCTTGTAGACGTTGTTGGGCCTCCAAGTACAGAGGTTTGTAGGACAGTAGCAAATTTCCCTCAAGTGGATGATCTAAGGTTTATCAATCCGTAGGAGGCGTAGGATGAAGATGGTCTCTCTCAAGCAACCCTGCAACCAAATAACTTAGAGTCTCTTGTGTCCCCAACACACTCAATATAATGGTAAATTGTATAGGTGTACTAGTTCGGCGAAGAGATTGTGATACAAGTGCAATATGGATAGTAGATAATGGTTTTTGTAATCTGAAAAATATAAAAACAGCAAGGTAACTAGTGATAAAAGTGAGCGTAAACGGTATTGCAATGTGTTGAAACAAGGCATAGGGTTCATACTTTCACTAGTTCAAGTCCTCTCAACAATAATAACATAATTGGATCACATAACTATCCCTCAACATGCAACAAAGAGTCACTCCAAAGTCACTAATAGCGGAGAACGAACGAAGAGATTATGGTAGGGTACGAAACCACCTCAAAGTTATTCTTTCCAATCAATCCGTTGGGCTATTCCTATAAGTGTCACAAACAACCCTAGAGTTCGTACTAGAATAACACCTTAAGACACGAATCAACCAAAACTCTAATGTCACCTAGATACTCCAATGTCACCTCAAGTATCCGTGGGTATGATTATACGATATGCATCACACAATCTCAGATTCATCTATTCAACCATCACATAGAACCTCAAAGAGTGCCCCAAAGTTCCTACCAGAGAATCACGATGAAAACGTGTGCCAATCCTTATGCATAGGTTCATGGATGGAACCCGCAAGTTGATCACCAAAACATACATCAAGTGAATCACGTGATATCCCATTGTCACCACAGATACGCATGGCAAGACATACATCAAGGGAATCACGTAATATCCCATTGTCACCACAGATACGCATGGCAAGACATACATCAAGTGTTCTCAAATCTTTAAAGACTCAATCCGATAAGATAACTTCAAAGGGGAAACTCAATTCATTACAAGAGAGTAGAGGGGGGGAAACATCATAAGATCCAACTATAATAGCAAAGCTCGCGATACATCAAGATCGTGCCAAATCAAGAACACGAGAGAGAGAGAGAGAGATCAAACACATAGCTACTGGTACATACCCTCAGCCCCGAGGGAGAACTACTCCCTCCTCGTCATGGAGAGCACCGGGATGATGAAGATGGCCACCGGAGAAGGATTCCCTCTCCGGCAGGGTACCAGAACGGGTCTAGATTGGCTTTCGGTGGCTACAGAGACTTCTGGCGGCGGAACTCCCGATCTATTGTGCTCCCCGATCGTTTTAGGGTATATGAAGATATATAGGCGGAAGAAGTATGTCAAGGGGCCCACGAGGGGCCCATGAGGGTGGAGGGCGCGCCCAGGGGGGTGGGCGCGCCCCTGCCTCGTGGCTTCCTCGTTGCTTCCCTTACGTGGACTCCAAGTCTCTCGGGTTGCTTTCCTTCCAAAAATAAGTTCCGTGAAGTTTCAGGTCAATTGGACTCCGTTTGATTTTCCTTTTCTGCGATACTCTAA